AGAAAATAATAACAAATCAATAGCAAAAATAATCCTAAAAAAATCCATTCAAAGAGTTATAAAAATAGGTATAAAATAATTCCAAATATACAATTATATAAAAAATCATTATAAAAATAAACCCCCATAATTATAAATATAACATGATAAAAATATTAAAATAATTACCAAAAATAATTTCAAACAAGGTGCAGGAACGTTTGGGGGGTTTTGGGATGCCTAGGTGAAAACTCGTGTGAAAAGAGTTCACAAGACTTGGCAAGTGTAATCCTTTGGAAAATACCACGCACCTCCTGCTCGAGAGCTACTCTTCTTTTCAAAGTGTCTGATCACTCCTGCTCCTCATTCTTCAGATTCTTGCTCTTCGGGAAACAGGGACTACCTCAGAGCCTGCTTTCCTGCTGCCACCTTGTCATCCAAAGTCAAACGTGGCATTGATCATCGTTCTTTCTTACAGACTGAAACAAAGAATTTAGAAACATGAGAGCAAAACTAATGATAAAAAGCATAAAACCCCCCCCTATCAAAACAAGAAAAAATAAAGAGCAAAAATTCAATGAAAAATAGCCTTTCAAATAGTTATAAAAATAATGACAAGATATGCAAAACAGAATACAAAAATATTAAAATATCCTTTAAAAAATAGAAATTTACCAAAATTTAAAAACATTTAAAAAAAAAACCCAAACAATTCTAAACTAGGTGCAGGAACGTTTGGGGATTTTTGGATGCCACGATGAAAGTTCATGTGATAATAGTTCATTCCCCCCAAAAGAGAGAAAAGTCACACTCTTCAAACTTTGCAGTTTGCTCTCAAGAGCACCTTCTTGCTGCGTCAGTCACTTACCTGCTTTCCTCTTTCCGGCAAAGATGCATCTTAAGCATAACATTCATGCATCTGTCCCTCCACACGAGACGCAGGGGAGTCGTGACTTTCTGTGGCTCTCGCTTCCCTTTGCCAGGCTTCTTCCAGTGAAGGTTTTTCAAGCTAAACCGAGGATCGCATCAGCCCGCTCCTGGCTACACATGTGCACCACGTTAAGGCTTGTGAGCATCTGCTCTGAAACGGACTGAGAAAAATACAGTAAAATCCTGGTTAGCGCTTGGAACCTTGGTGATGGGTGTCCCTGAAGGTGGCTTCAGAGCTGAAAGGGTCCTGACCTTTCTGGCAAGTAACGGTCTCCTTGGGAGGGAAGGGAAAGGTGCTTCAGCTGCAAGAGACCTCACTTCCCTTTGCTCCAAACAGGTGGGACGCAAGTCCTGCACTTCTCCAGCTTTACAGGGCTGCTGCAGGAAATACTCTCCTGTCATTCCTGCTAGTGTCACGGAAGGAACTCTTCAGCTGCACCATTTGCACCTCCCTGTCTGGATTCACAAAGAATTCATGTGGCAATTCCTAAGAGCTATGAAGAGGAATCAGAAAATCACACGGAAGAAACTAACAGTCACAGCACAACAACATGGTCACAGAAAGAAGGAAATAGGGGCTCAGCTCTTGGAAGTTGTGCCTACACATCATGCTTGTATACTAATCCTCTGTCTGAGAGATCAACATCAGAGTAAATTCTCTTTCCACGATCTGTCTATGAGAGGACCCAAACTATTCTACTTTAGCAGCTAACATAGAACCAACTCATTCCAAGGCGTCATCCTGAGGAGGAAAAGAGCAAGATTTCAGGCACTGAATGTGATGAGAGGGAAGGAAGATTTTTGAAAGGAAGAGAGAAGAAAAAAAGAAGCCTGGAACAAAACCCTTGAGAGAGCTTCTAAAGAACAGGGAGCATGTCAAAGGCAGATGAAACATGGAACCAGAAACCAGACAATTGTTTCTTCTCGGAGACTAGAACAAACTACCACTAGACAGATCATTTAAAGGTGAAAAAAGTGCTTTTTCCACCTTGCAAATAAATAGTTAGCAAGGCAAATGCCTCAGTGTGTGCGTGTCTTTCTATTTATTGCATGATTTTTGCACAAGTCTGTGTCTCATACCAGTAAAGAATTAAAGCAATGGCCCAACGTGCCTTCTGAAACCAAAGCCTTGCATTCCAGCACGTCCAAGTTCCTCGCACAAGCATTGTGAAAGCGGTGAACTAAACAGCTACTTAATGCTAGAGTCAGGACGAGCTACTGATATGACATATTCTGGCAACAGGAAAATGTCCCCTACCTTTCTTCCCCATCTGTGAACATGCTACGCCTGGTAGAAGCCAGCCCTGCTGTGAGCAGGAGGTTGGGATCATTTTCAAAGTACGTTAACCTGTGCACATTGAGACTGGTTGTATCCTGCAGGGGAGGCGGGCTGGAAACTTAGAAAAAGGAAAAAAAAAAAACCCACTAAACCCCAAACTTAAAAAAGGCATTGTAACAAGGGAAGCCAAGCTTGAAAGGCCACCCGCGGCACGTGGCGTTGCCAGCCCCTTCTCCTGGTACAGCAATGAGCAGCAACTGCTTGCAGGCATCAGCTAGCAGGCACCAGTGACAGGTGGTGCATTTGCTGCCAGGTTGAGAGAAGGCTGAAACACATCACCGAGGGAACTGAAGACAGGTATTTGTCCATTTCTCGGTCAGAATGAGCCTGGGATACACAGAGCTTTAGCACTTTGTTTCTGCAATTGTCTTCCAAGTCGACACATGATGGTGCTGCAGGCCACGTGCTGCAGAGCAGCCCTGCCTAAACAGTCTCCAGAAACTGTCTGCAAGCGGGGTTTCCACTGAGCTGTCACTGGACTAGTTCTAAGGATGTTAGCACCATTAGAGGCTAACAAAAGCCTGTGGGTGTTTGACAGGACATGCTTTCAGAGTGATCTGTCTTTCACCTGGGCTAACACCTTTCTGTCAGAGAAGCTTAGGAGATAGAAGCGGAGGGAAAACAAGGAAACCAATAGAGTTTCCTCTTCTTTACCATTAGCGAGTTTGTCAAGGGTACCAAACTGGGAGGTGCCGATGACTCTCTTGAAGGACAGGAGGCCTTGCAGAAGGATCGAGACAGATTGGAGCACTGGCCAGTCATCGACGGGGTGAAATTTAACATCTCCGAAGACCGGATTTTGCACCTGGCACGGCGCTATGGCAGGCACAAGCATACCTGGGAGAGGAGTGGCTGGAGAGCATCCCCGCAGAAAGGGATGCAGGGGCGCTGCCTGACAGCAGGCTCAGCGCGAGCCAGCAGCGTGCGCCCTGGCAGCCAAGAGGGCAAACGGCACCCGGGGCTGCATCAAAGACGGCAGAAGCGGCCGGGCAAAAGAGGGGATTATGCCGCTGTATTCAGCGTTGCTGCGGCCTCACCTTGAGTGCTGTTGGAAGTTCTGGGCCCCACAAACTGAGAAGGATGTGAAGGTCCTTGAATGTGTCCAGAGGAGGGGCAACCAAGCTGGTGAAAGGGCTGGAAGGAATGTCCTGTGAGGAGCAGCTGGGGACTTGGCGTTGGTCTAGTTTGGTGAGGAGGAGGCTGAGGGGGGACCTCATTGCTCTCTACAGCTTCCTCAGGAGGGCAAGGGCAGGGGGAGGTGCTGAGCTCTTCTCCCTGGTGTCCAGGGAGAGGCTGTGCGGGAATGCTTCAAAGCTGCGCCAGGGGAGCTTTAGGGTGGACATTAGCATGCATTTCTTTACCAGCACTCTATGGGAATGCCATTAGTACAGCCAGCGTTCATTCTTTCAGGGTGTGCTATTTCAGCACCTCTTGGCCTTGCAGGGCCCATGCAAAGAGGAAGGAATGCTCTGAAGACGCACTGCCTCGGAGGGCTTCCTTTCCAAGCGTGACGCACAATGCAGGTTTTAGCTGACCGAGTAGATAGGGTTGCAAGTTCTGGCTCCTGACGGGCTGTCTTCTTCCTAACAGCCTCTGGAGAGGGGGCACTCCTGGCAAGGGAACTCGTCTCTAGCCTCCCTCTGCCTGCTGCTCCAGCAGAGCCACGTCTGCACAGGGGCGAGGGCCTGTCTCTTCACACCTGCCTGGCATCAAAATGTTGGGATTCTTTCACTGAGTCGACACAGCCTGGCAGCTTTCTGACCTCATTTCACTACTTTTGCAGACCGATTCATGACCAGGCATATGCTGGAGGACTGTTTTCTATCCTGCCGTTTATTAATTTAAAAGAAAACCACAAAAAGCAGCTCCTTTGCAGCTGAATAACCTCATCAGGAACTTCATCCCCCCACCGTTGCAGGTGGTTTCAGCTGTGCCCAGCGCATGGCCACCAAGGGCAGGGACAGCCCCTGGGCCTCCTGGGCACAGCGACTGCCTCAGGGCCAGCACCCCAAAGGCTTTTTCCAAAGGGGGGTGGGCGGGGCTGTGCATGGGGAGCCCTGTCAGTCACCCCCAGGTCACAGTGCCCCCCCCATGGCACAATGCCCCCCCATTGGGACAATGCCTACTAACCCCATGTCACAATGTCACCCATGGCAACGCAGCCGTTGCCGTGCGCCGGGGCAGTATAAAAGGGGGCACCTGCCAGTGTCCAGCTGCCAGAGCTGACCGGGGGCAGCCTGAAGACATCTGAGAGGAAGCCCTTGAGGAGAGCGGGGGATTACTGGCAGGAGGCTGAGGGAGGAAGACTGCAGCCTGGTCGAGGCTGTGGAGGTTCTCTGCTGCAAGGCCAGCTCCTGGCAGGGCCACCTTCAAATCTCACCGGATGGATGGATGGAAATCCACCTTCAAGCCTTCCGGGAGCAGATGCAAGCCCTTCAGGAGGTGAGAAGAACCAGCAACCGCTGGAGGTGCCCCAGGCTCTCAGGCCGTTTCCGCTGGAGAGCCGTGGCCAGCCCCAGCGAGGGCCACCGTGAGGAGCACTTCAGAGCTCGCTGGCCTCATCCCCTGCGGAGCCAGGGGCAGCAGCCGTAAGAAACGGGATGGATGCAGGGACGTTGCCAGGGCTCCCAGTGCTTTGGAGCACCCGCTAGACAGGCACAGGAAAGATTCTTGCCCCCAAGGTCGATCAGGCTGCGGGCATTTGGCCACTCCTGGAAGCCCCTGAGATGGCTCCAGGCTGAGGGAGAACAGGGCTTGGGCATCTCCTGGGAGGCGTGACCAGCCTGTGGGACGCGGAGGCAGGTCTTGCTCACCTGCTCAGGGAGTAGCCGATCGCCACTGCTGGGGTCAGGAAGGAATTTTCCCCCGGGGCACATTGGCGCTGGCCCCCGGGGGTTTTTTGCCTTCCTCTGCAGCACTGAGCATGACCACTTGTCAGGGCTCCTCCAGTCCCTTTTGGCCGGGTTACTGCCTGCTGCTCGTGCACCACGAAGGCGGCCTCTCGTGCCCTGCAGCTGGGGGGAGGAAGGCTTTTTTTTCCCCACGGTGAGCTAACCAGTGTCCCCGGGGGTTTTTTGCCTTCCTCTGTGGCGCTGAGCACGGCCCCTGGCCAGGGCTCCTTTGGGCCATGCTGGCCAGGTGCCTGCTGCTCCACGAAGATGGCCCTCGTGCCCCGCATCCGGGGGGAGGAACCTTTCTGGACTCCCATGGTGTGCACTAGGGTGCCCACCTGGGGTTGCTGCTTCTCCTCTGTAGCACTGAGCACAGCCCTATGTCAGGGTTCCTCTGAAATTAGGTGCAGGGACATGTGGGGGTTTTTTGGATGCCAAGGTAAAAATTCATGTCAAAAGAATTCACAAGACTTGGCAAGTGTAATACTTTGGAAAATACCACGCACCTCCTGCTCGCTCCTCCTCTTTTAAAAGGGTGGCATCGGTCCTGCTCCTCCTGCTCCAGGTGCTCCCTCTTCAGGAAACAGGCACTACCTGGCCTGCTTCCTGCTGTCACTGTGTCATCCTAAGTCAAACGTGGCATTGATCAAACTCTATCCTTACAGACTGAAACAAATAATTGAGAAAAACGAGAGGAATAGTAATGAGAAAAAGATATAAACCCCAATTAAATAACAAATCAGTAGCAAATCTAATCCTAAAAATAGCCATTCAAAGAGTTAGAAAAAAAGGTATAAAATAATCCCAAAAATACAATTATAATAATACAATTATAAAAATCTAAGAAACATTTTAAACATAATATTATAAAAAATAATCAAAAATATAATTCCAAAAATAATTACAAACAAGGTTCAGGAACATTTGGTGGTTTTTTGGATGCCAAGATGAAAATTCATGTGAAAAGAGTTCGCAAGCCCTGGCAAGCGTAATACTTTGGAAAATACCACGCACCTCCTGCTCGCTCCTCCTCTTTTAAAAGGGTGGCATCGGTCCTGCTCCTCCTCCTCCAGGTGCTCCCTCTTCAGGAAACAGGCACTACCTGGCCTGCTTCCTGCTGTCACTGTGTCATCCTAAGTCAAACGTGGCATTGATCAAACTCTATCCTTACAGACTGAAACAAATAATTGAGAAAAACGAGAGGAATAGTAATGAGAAAAAGATATAAACCCCAATTAAATAACAAATCAGTAGCAAATCTAATCCTAAAAATAGCCATTCAAAGAGTTAGAAAAAAAGGTATAAAATAATCCCAAAAATACAATTATAATAATACAATTATAAAAATCTAAGAAACATTTTAAACATAATATTATAAAAAATAATCAAAAATATAATTCCAAAAATAATTACAAACAAGGTTCAGGAACATTTGGTGGTTTTTTGGATGCCAAGATGAAAATTCATGTGAAAAGAGTTCGCAAGCCCTGGCAAGCGTAATACTTTGGAAAATACCACGCACCTCCTGCTCGCTCCTCCTCTTTTAAAGGGTGGCATCGGTACTGCTCCTCCTGCTCCAGGTGCTCCTTCTTCAGGAAACAGGCACTACCTGGCCTGCTTCCTGCTGTCACTGTGTCATCCTAAGTCAAACGAGGCATTGATCAAACTCTATCCTTACAGACTGAAACAAATAATTGAGAAAAACGAGAGGAATAGTAATGAGAAAAAGATATAAACCCCAATTAAATAACAAATCAGTAGCAAATCTAATCCTAAAAATAGCCATTCAAAGAGTTAGAAAAAAAGGTATAAAATAATTCCAAAATTACAATTATACTAATACAATTATAAAAATATAAGAAACATTTTAAACATAATAATATAAAAATAATTATAAAAATATTTACAAAAATAATTAAAACAAGGTGCAGAAACATTTGGTGGTTTTTTGGATGCCAAGATGAAAATTCATGTGAAAAGAGTTCGCAAGCCCTGGCAAGCGTAATACTTTGGGAAATACCACGCACCTCCTGCTCGCTCCTCCTCTTTTAAAAGGGTGGCATCGGTCCTGCTCCTCCTCCTTCAGGTGCTCCCTCTTCAGGAAAGAGGCACTACCTCAGAGCCTGCTTTCCTTCTGCCAATTCTGTGGCACTGATCACTGTCTGTCCTTACAGACTGAAACAAATAATTGACAAAAACGAGAGGAAACGTAATGAGGAAAAGAATATAAACAAACAAGAAAAAGAATAACAAATCAAGAGAAAAATAATCCTAAAAATAGGCATTCAAAGTGTTATATAAATAGGTATAAAATAATTCCAAATATACACCTATGAAACTAGAAATATATCATTCTACAAATAACACCATAAAAATAATTAAAAATATAATTCCAAAAATAATTACAAACTAGTGCAGGAACGTTTGGGGGGTTTTGGATTCCAAGGTTAAAATCCATGTGAAAAGAGTTCATAATTCTTGGCAAATGTAAGACCTTGGAAAATACCACAAACCTCCTGCTCGCTCCTCCTCTTTTAAAAGTTGGGGATCAGTCCTGCTCCTCCTCCTTCAGATGCTCCCTCTTCAGGGAACAGGGACTACCTCAGAGCCTGCTTTCCTTCTGCCACCTTGTCATCCAAAGTCAAACGTGGCATTGATCATCGTTCTTTCTTACAGACTGAAACAAAGAATTTAGAAACACGAGAGCAAAACTAATGATAAAAAGAATAAAAAAACCCCTATCAAAACAATAAAAAATAAAGGGCAAAAATTCAACGAAAAATAGCCTTTCAACTAGTTATAAAAATAATGACGATATGCAAATCAGAATACTAAAATATTAAAATATCCTTTTAAAAATAGAAAAAGATACTTATGAAAATATAAAAACATCTTTTAAAACATACTTCTAAACTAGGTGCAGGAACCTTTGGGGATTTTTGGATGCCAAGATGAAAATTCATGTGATAATAGTTCATTCCCCCCAACAGAGGGAAAAGTCACATGCTTCAAACTTTGCAGTTTGCTCTCAAGAGCACCTTCTTGCTGCATCAGTCACTTACCTGCTTTCCTCTTTCCGGCAAAGATGCATCTTAAGCATAACATTCATGCATCTGTCCCTCCACGCGAGACGCGGGGGAGTCGTGACTTTCTGTGGCTCTCGCTTCCCTTTGCCAGGCTTCCAGTGAAGGTTTTTCAAGCTAAACCGAGGATCGCATCAGCCTGCTCCTGGCTACACGTGTGCACCACGTTAAGGCTTGTGAGCATCTGCTCTGAAACGGACTGAGAAAAATACAGTAAAATCCTGTCAGCGCTTGGAACCCTGGTGATGGGTGTCCTTGAAGGTGGCTTCAGAGCTGAAAGAGTCCTGACCTTTCCGGCAAATAGCGGCCTCCTTGGGAGGGAAGGGAAAGAGGGAAGGGACAGGTGCTTCAGCTGCAAGAGACCTCACTTCCCTTTGCTCCAAACAGATGGGACGCAAGTCCTGCACTTCTCCAGCTTTACAGGGCTGCTGCAGGAAATACTCCCCTGTCATTTCTGCTAGTGTCACGGAAGGAACTCTTCAGCTGCACCATTTGCACCTCCCTGTCGGGATTCACAAAGAAATCATGTGGCAATTCCTAAGAGCTATGAAGAGGAATCAGAAAATTACACCGAAGAAACTAACAGTCACAGCACAACAACATGGTCACAGAAAGAAGGAATTAGGGGCTCAGCTCTTGGAAGTTGTGCCTACACATCATGCTTGTATACTAATCCTCTGTCTGAGAGATCAACATCAGAGTAAATTCTCTTTCCACGATCTGTCTATCAGAGGACCCAAACTATTCTACTTTATCAGGTAACGTATAACCAATTCATTCCAAGGCGTCATCCTGAGGAAGAAAAGAGCAAGATTTCAGGCACTGAATGTGATTAGAGGGAAGGAAGATCTCTGAAAGGAAGAGAGAAGAAAAAAAGAAGCCTGGAACAAAACCCTTGAGAGAGCTTCTAAAGAACAGGGAGCATGTCAAAGGCAGACGAAACATGGAACCAGCAACCAGACAATTATGTCTTCTCTGAGACTAGAACAAACTACCACTAGACAGATTATTTAAAGGTGAAAAAAGTGCTTTTTCCACCTTGCAAATAAATAGTTAGCAAGGCAAATGCCTCAGTGTGTGCGTGTCTTTCTATTTATTGCATGATTTTTGCACAAGTCTGTGTCTCATACCAGTAAAGAATTAAAGCAATGGCCCAACGTGCCTTCTGAAACCAAAGCCTTGCATTCCAGCACGTCCAAGTTCCTCGCACAAGCATTGTGAAAGCGCTGAACTAAACAGCTACTTAATGCTAGAGTCAGGACGAGCTACTGATATGACATATTCTGGCAACAGGAAAATGTCCCCTACCTTTCTTCCCCATCTGTGAACATGCTACGCCTGGTAGAAGCCAGCCCTGCTGTGAGCAGGAGGTTGGGATCATTTTCAAAGTACGTTAACCTGTGCACATTGAGACTGGTTGTATCCTGCAGGGGAGGCGGGCTGGAAACTTAGAAAAAGGGAAAAAAAACCACTAAACCCCAGGGGCACGTTGCCACCTGGTGTCACCATGGCAGCACAGGCACAGCAAGCTGTTACCAGCAACACCTTCACAGCCAGCTTAGTTTTCCTTCTCTCAACCACAGTCAGCGAGAGTTCTGTTTGCAGACTGTTTGTCATTGAGTCACTGGGAGGAAAGAAAAACACATCCCTTTCGTCCTTAACTGGCGGTGTGCTCTCACCCATCTACCCTGCTGGAGGTCCGTGGGAATCAGCTGATGTAGAGAAGTACCTACACACCTGTCCTGGTTTGGACCCAGAGGGCAACTGAGCACCATGCAGCCCCTTGCTCACTCCTTCCCCCTCACAGATGGGGAGAAGACAATAAAAGGCTCAGGGATCGAGTCTAGGACAGGGAGGGATGGCCCACCAGTTATGGTCACAGGCAAAAGACAGACTTGATTGGGGCCACAAAAAACATCAATTTAACAGAAGGAGGAATGGGGAAGACAATGTTCAAAGTGATGGTGCCACCATGGATGAGCAGCTTCCTATGTCAAGCATGACCTCATACAGTATGGAGTGTTCCTTTGGTCAGTGGGGATCGGCTGTCCCGGCAGCCCTGCACCCTCCCAGCTTCTTGTGCACCCCCAGACCACTCACTCGGTCACTCACTCACCAGTGGCATGAGAAGCAGAAAAGGCCTTGACTCTGCCTAAGCGCTGCTTGGCAATAACAAAAACATGTCTGTATTACCAACACCATTTTCAGCACCAATCCAAACCACAGCCTCATACCAGCTACTGTGAAGAAAATTAACTCTGTCCCAGTCAAAAACAGCACAATGACCCATCCCAGGAAGAATTCAAGACGGAGAGGGAGCTCTTCCTTCAGAGAAGCAGAAGACTGTTCTGGCCTGAAGATGTTTTGGCAAGAGGGGCCACTCAACAATTAAAAAGCCAGTAAAATCCAATTAGAAACCAACTAAACCCCAGTAAGAACCAATTTAGAAATAAAAGAAATATGCTTTCCTCTCCTATTTGGCTCTTTTGAGACTACAGACTCCTGCATCCCATTCTGGTCTCCCCAGGACAGGAAAGACACTGACCTGAGTCGTGCAAGCCCAGCCCAGCACCTTTGAGATGGTGAGGGGCCAGGGCACACAAGGGCAGGTGGAGGGAACTGCCGCTGTGCAGCTGGGAGAAGGGAAGGCTCAGGGCTGGGGCTGACTGCTGATCTGCCAGAACCTTGGAATTGCTCTCCTCACCCAATACCATGCAGAAAATCACCCTGTTTCTCTCCCACATACACTTCACTAGGGCTAGTTTGGGGATTCAGAACAGCAAAGTAAAAAAAAAAAAAAAAAGAATGAGCTTGATTTCCCCCAGCTTGCATCCATGTTCTCTTTGGTAGGATACAAGCCACGGGCTCATCTATCTGCTTCCCACGACACTGATCAAACAAGAAATATGAGAGCATTCAAATGCGAGTGGTCTTTGCCAATGTGCATGGAAGTCACATCACATCTCCACTTCATAAGACCTGTGAGAAAAGAACTCCATCGTAGTAGGAACAAATCATGGAAGTGGACCTTTGCCATGAAAAATGGTTCTACAGAAAAAAAATACCTCTGTGAGCTCCCAAGGTCCTCTGGCTTTCAGGTCTTAAGCCCAGAGCCAGTAGGGAACTGGCCATAGCATCAACTACTTTGTCAGAGCCTGATTTCTAATCAACAGCACTCTTTGGTTTGCTCCCAGGTGGAGCCATGGAGTAGGCTGGCAGGTATCCAGCACAGGCTACTGCAGCCCAGGGCTTTGCAGCAAACCTGGGAACACACTAAACTGACAGCCTGGGTGCACCTCAAGGATGTCAGTTTGCTCTGGACAGAAGTAAAAACACTGGGGCTTTTTGCTTTGCTTTGGTTGGTTTAGAGGGGGTTATTTTGTTTTTTTGTTGTTGTTGTTTGGGTTGTTTTTTTTTTATATGCTACAGCAGTGGTTCTCAACCTGTGGTCCGCAGACCCCTGGGAGGCCGTGATGTTGTCACAGGGGGTCTGTGAAGGCTCAGAGCAGGGGAGGGGGGGAACGTCCATCCCCAAAATGCGGCAAGCACTGCGCCTGCTTTTCCCACAGCCCCCTCCCCTCAACGCTCCTCTCATACTCAAGCCCCCCCACGCCGCCTGCCCTGATGCACTAGTATTTTCGGAGCTAGTACGGTTGGTGGGCCCCACTTAAACTAGGTGTTTTTTCTCTTCCAGACATTTTCTTAACCCAACAGCCCTCTTTAGGGCCACAACAGGGCTGAAGTCTCTTCCTCCAAGCGGTGGCCCTGGACCCGTACACAAAAATATGTGGTGACTGAGCACAGTCAAACAAGGGGAAAGGTGAGAAGAATTGTAAAAACTTTTCATCAAATTTTAATGTAAAAATTGGCATCAGATTTGGATATAGCATGTTAAAATACCATAAGATGGGCCATTGGAGCAAGAAGTGTTGATGCTATTGTTTTAAATTCATATGGCATCGTTGCAATAAAGATAATATGAGTGTGTGCATTAACAGATTAATTTATTTATTTCCCCTTCTCTCCAAATTTGAAGACCTTCCCCCAGGGGACGAGGGAAGCCCCCCCCCCTTAGCTGAGCACAAAGGCCTCGTACCCCTCCGGCCATCCCCCCCCAGGAGCTGCAGGAGGCACCTCCCGCTCTCCCGGCCAGCACCAGGGGCGCTGTCGCTGCAGCCCGCCACGCCGGCGGGACAAAAAGGAGCTGGAACCATGGCCCCCATCGGCCAGTGGCCACCTGGGCCTCCAGGAGGCTCTGGAAGGAGGACGATGACCAAATCCAGGGCAAGCCGGGAAATGGGGGAGAAGCCCAGAGCGGAAAGAAAGGGGCAGAGGTTCAAAAAGGATGTCCCAAAAGGGGCGGTCTCTCATCCCGGTGGTAACCGGGGCTGCTCCTCCTGAGCTTCCCCAGCAGGCCCCTGCAGGGGAGGGCGGCTGCACTCCGGCCCTCGCAGCCGCCCCCACAACGCCGACACTGCCTCAGCCCCGCTCTGTCCCGTCCCCTCGCTCCCTTCCAGCTGTTTCCCCCGCCGGCCGCGCACACCCTGCCCGGGGCGGCGCCGGACCGGCTGCTCC